TTAAGGATTAGTCATGTACTATTGTAACATGAAAATACTTATTCGACAAGACAAATTTTTCATTAAGAATTTTCATACGGTCATGTTCAGTGAACTTGTTCTCTAACAAGCACTCACATATATGTACTTGCGTCCCACGCTAATGTTGATGGAATGCAACATTCTTGTCCAACAAGCGTACATACTATGTGCAAGTCCTTTTTTTGGATTATTCGATATCCCATCTCAAAACATCCAACGACTTGGAACTGTATTTAAAATCGCAACTTTCAAGGTATGTTCCACGATCACCATCTCTATGCGCAACCATACCTTATAGCCATAAGTGATTTAGGGATTTTATCTTAAGTGCGATTATAGGATAAAAGCTTACTCTTAAGATAAATTAATGCCTTATTTACAATATAATTCCAATAGATAGTATTTACAAGTAGAATACATCCAATCCGATTGGAATGCCGGGTATCCAACTCTAACAATCTCCCACTTGCCCTAATTCCAATCACTCATGTATTTAAGACCCATCTTCTCAAGATGTCCTTCAAACACTTTATGTGATAAGGGCTTAGTTAAGGGGTCTGTAATATTTTCTGCTGAGTAGACTCGCTCGATCACAACGTCGCCTCTACCAATGATTTCTCTAATCAAATGGTATCATCTCATAATGTGCTTGGATCTTTGATGAGATCTTGGCTCCTTTGCTTGCGCAATAGCCCCATTGTTATCACAATAAATCATTATTGGATCAACAACAGATGGTACTACACCCAACCCTTGGATGAAGTTCCTTATCCAAACAGCTTCCTTTGCAGCATCAGATGCAGCAATATATTCAGCCTCTGTCGTAGAGTCAGCAATTGTTTCTTGTTTGGAACTTTTCCAACTAACCGCTGCTCCATTCAGAGTAAACAGGTAACCAAACATGGATTTAAAGTCATCTTTATCCGACTGAAAACTAGAATCAGTAAAGCCTTCTAATTTCAGTTCTCCATTTCCATACACCATAAAGATATCCTTAGTCCTTCTTAAGTACTTAAGGATTATCTTAACCGCTTTCCAGTGTTCTTCACCTAGATTAGACTGATATCTGCTCATTACACTAAGTGCATAAGCCACATCAGGTCTTGTACATAACATCGCATACATAATGCTACCAATAGCTGATGCATAAGGTATATAACTCATCCGTTCTCTTTCTTCAGGTGTCTTTGGAGACATCATCTTAGAAAGTGAAACCCCATGACTCATTGGAATATATCCACGTTTGGATTCTTCCATGCTAAACCGTTTTAGCACCTTATTTATGTACATTGACTGGGATAATCCAATCATCCTTTTAAATCTATCTCTATAGATTTTTATCCCAAGGATAAAAGATGCTTCTCCCAAATCTTTCATGGAAAATTGTTTTGACAACCATGTCCGTGTTGATTGCAACATCCCTACATCATTCCCTATGAGTAAGATATCATCAACATAGAGTATAACAAAGGCAACTGCATTCCCATTAACCTTCTTGTAAACACATGGTTTATCCAGGTTCTTATGAAAATCAAACGTTTTGATCGTTTCATCAAACCGAATGTTCCAACTCCTCGAAGCTTGTTTAAGTCCATAAATGGACCTTTGAAGCTTACAAACCATTTTTTCGCTCCCACTGGATATGAAACCCTCCGGTTGTTTCATATAAATGTCTTCCTTAATGTTTCCATTAAGAAAGGCAATTTTCACATCCATTTGCCATATCTCGTAATCATAATACGCAGCTGTAGCAAGCAATATCCGAATGGATTTAAGCATTGCTACTGGTGAAAAAGTTTCCTCA